AACCAGTGGCCTTGGTGTTATCAGCACCGCACTCTACCGAGTGAGCCACGGGCTGGCCTAAGGGTTTTCTTCTTTTTAAGAAATGTGTGGGTTGTGTGGGGCCAGAGAGTATTACTGAAATTCTTCACAAAAGGACAAAAATAAGGCACTGATATTAGGCTTTGTAAGTGGAGTGCACTGGTTGTCATATAGATGCCTTGTTTGGTGAGCAAGCAACTAAAAAGAACCAAAGGATTTTGGAGTCAAAAAGGACCTTAGAGGACTTGTGGGCCATGGCTTCATTTCGCATTCAGGGAAAACTGAAGCTCAGAAAGGTTAAACATCTTACCTAGGATCGCAGAAACAGAATAAAAAACAATTTAGATGAAGTATCTTTCTTATAAATCTCTTATATTCACTTTAAAATTCAAAAATTAAGCAAAATATTTAGTTCCTAGTCATCAAATATTTAACTTGGAGATGGTTATTTTCATTTGCTAAGAAGCATTTATTGAGCCATTGTTACCTGATATTGGGTAGATTACTGTGATCACCGAAATCTAGATCTTCTAAAAGAGGGGACCTTAACCTTTATTGGTCATAAATCCTTTTGGAAGTCTGGTGAAGCCTCCTTCTCAGATGTCTTTAAATGCATTAAATAAAATACATATGATAAAAAAGAAACAAGTTATATTGAAATACAATTTTCAAGTATTAAAAAACAAATTTGTGATATAATGATGTGGACTTCATTAACACATTAACTAACAAGTTCTAGCAGTACATCTGATAACTATTGTTCTTTCAAACTAGTGATCAGTATAAATAGTATTTTCAGATAACTGCAACAACTGTAGTGTGATTTCTGCTGGTAACAAAGTCACAGGCACAGCCGACTACTGCTGTATTATTTTGTTGCCTACATACATAATTGAAGGAAAATCTCACCTTCATTTAAACATAATGAAAATGAAGATGTAGTTTTTCCCATTTAAATTCTATCTATAAACTTTTTGGAGGCCTATAGACTCCAAATTAAGCACCGCTGTCTAATACTTCTTCCCTTTGTTCCAAAGAATTATATTGTTCAGTGGAAAAAATGTAAAAGGGATTACATTTCTGGTCTAGTAACGTACAGATGTACTGTTTCATAATATGATATTGATTTTTAAGGATTATTTCCACATTCTTCTCTCTGAAGACACACAAGGCAGGTGCTATCTGAAGCTGATGCATGCTGGAGCCACTCTAGAGGACAGGTGGAGTCTTGCTGATGTTGGAATATCTTTCTGTTCAACTCTCAAATGCTTTATTAAGGTATGATGATCAGAATAACATTTGTCCAAGATGTTATCTCATTTTTTTTTTTTTTTAAAGATGACCGGTAAGGGGATCTTAACCCTCGACTTGGTGTTGTCAGCACCACGCTCAGCCAGTGAGCGAACCGGCCATCCCTGTATGGGATCCGAACCCGGGGCCTTGGTGTTATCAGCACCGCACTCTCCCGAGTGAGCCACAGGCCGGCCCGATGTTATCTCATTTTGAATAAAGTTGTGGATAATTCAACCAAAGTGATTTCACAACTTGGAGGTTTTCTTCTCTTGGCTTCTCCTCCCTTCCATTTGTGTAACTGGCCTCATGAATGCTTTGTGCTGTAAGGGGAAGTAAGACATGGAGACTAGATAGAGCTCCCCCTTGTTTACTGCTTCTCCCCCTTCCCTCTCCCTATCCCTTCTGCTGCCTGCCCTACCTATTCATCACAGAGCTCATCACAAACCAATAACAGAACAAGGCCAAGGGCAGATCTGGAATACTGATATGGGAAGAAGAGGATTAGGTTGTTCTGTGGGGCTACAATGATTAGGGGCAGTGGAGTAAGGAAGGAGAAGAAATTCTCAGTAATAATAAGAATGAAGGGACATTTCTGCATCCAAATCCAGCCAGAGTAACCATTCGAGATAGGAGTACATACAGTGGAGATAGCCTTTTCTGTGCATAGAGTGTCCTTAATCAATGCTGCTTAACTTGGGATCTATGGCTCAGCTTTAGGAACCTTACAAAACCCCCAAATTGTAAAATATACAAAATCATGTGCCTGGAGATTTTCTGGGTAAATGATCCTTAACTTTCAACAATTTTTTAAAAGGACAGGTGGCCCAAAGAATTTAAGACTGGCTGCTCTAGGGTAGAAGTATTATTCTGTATTAGTTTTTTACCCCATATGAAAACATGAGCCTCAAGAACTTAGTAAAGTACACATTCACCACTAACTGGGGCACAAATTTGCTTATATTTAACATTAAAATTTTTTTGGTAGTCAAACTTAACTATTTCCTTTAGTATGTTTTAGTGATTGACTAAATGCATGTTTAAAAGGAATACTCTCCAATATTTACCATTAAGTAGTGCAGATAAGTCAGAATAATAAGCATTGTATGATCCCACTTACATAAACAAAAAGACCATATTTATATGTTTTTGATGTTTTATGAGCATTTACTCATGTATTTTCATATTCTTGAAGAATGTTTAATAATCAAAGGAGGAAATAAAAACAACTCTGATTTCTTCTAATTTTCTCCCTCTGATACTCAGAAAATATAGTACTTTTTAAAGCAGACCAAATTCCATGTGTATTAGTCAGGGTTCTCTGGACAGACAGAATCAATAGGATACGTTATAATTATATGAGAGGGATTTAGGAAGATTAGCTCATGTGACTATGAAGAAGAGTCCCACGATAGGCCGTCTATAAACTGGGTACAGGTAGCGTGGCTCAGTCCAAGTCCAAGGCCTCAAAACCAGGGAAGCGAAGGTGTCCTTGGTGTAAGTTCCAGAACCCAAAAGCTGAAGAGTCTCGAGCTCTGATGTCCACAGACAGGAGAGAAGGGTGTATCCCAGCTCCAGCAGATCGAGAGAGCACTTCACCTCTTTCCTCTGTCTTTTGTTCTCTCCGGACCCCCAGCGGATTGGATGGTTCCCACCCACACTGAGGGTGGGTCTTTCACACCCAGGCCACTCAGACTCTCATACTAATCTCTGCTGGAAACACCCTCATGGACACACCTAAAAAGATAGCTTTACCAGGTTTCCCAGCATTCCTTCATCTAACCAAGTTGACACCTAGAATTAAACTTCACACCATGTCATTTCTTAAATGTCTTCTCCTTATATCATTAAATATATTTACATACTACATTTTTGGTACTGTATAGGATCAACCCTCTAAAATTTCCCAGAATTTTGTAATGGCAGTAATAAGTTTCAAGATTTTTTATTGTTTGCTTGCTTAGAGATAGTGGTGTAAGTTCAATCCTAACATTTCGGTTGGCTAGAGGAATTCGATGCATGTTCAGGGATATAGTTAAAATGTGTATGAGTATGAACAGTATGTTTTTATTTAACTAAAAACTATTTTTATTATTGAAATTTCTAAATTTTATTTATTTTTAACTAGGTACTACATTCACACAGTTCTCAATTCAAAAGATACAAAAGGGTATATGGTAAAAAGTCTCCCACCTCTGGTCCCCAGATTCTCTCTCCAGAAGCAATCTATGTTCATAGTTTTACTCGCAAAAACACTTCATAAATTCTGCCAATAAAGCTTCATCTATCACAGTGATACAAGCTTTATACTGAATAGAATGTAGAGGTAAAAGGGTTTATTCAACAGAGCTAAGGCAGAATGTAATTATGAGAAACAGGACTGACCAACAAACAGGGTTTAATTAAGTTCTCAAGTTCCATGGAAATATTACTGATCTTACTCTTCACTCCATCCAGTAGAATCACATTTAGAGAATTTCTTATCACTAATTTTGGGAAGGAAAATAATATCTTTAGTCTGAAGAAAAAGAATTACCTAAATATTGGTTTCCGTCTTAACCTATTTCCTATTTAGTTTAGATAATAAAACAGGCCTATTCCAAAAATCCTTATTATTTACTGTACAAGGGTACTTCCAAAAATTCATGAAAAGATTCATAATATCTTTAATTCTATTTTCCCACAAACTTTTTGAAGTGCCCTTGTATCTGTACAATAACAGCCCTAAATGGGTTACAATGACAAAAATTCTTCATGAAAATATCCCATGCATCAAAGAATGCAGTCATACCAGCTTTATACCATGTTTGATCTATCTCAGATAACCAAAGGCTTCTTTCTAAGTCATTTTATTGCTTTATTGCATAAAAATATACAAATTTAAGTAGTACCTTTCTTATTTAACTACAATACTTTGTGCAAGTTAGTTCTACCTTCCGAGAATCTAGGAAAGCTAGAGTCTCTCAATTTATTTTGGCACAACTTAGAAATACCATGATGTGAATCGAAAACTTTTGCAAAGTTCAAAAACTTGGCAAGTAAGCAGTTATTTAAAAAAAAAAAAAATACAAGTAGATCTTATGTGTCATGAAATAAATCCAGGCTATTTGGTTTATTTATTGTGCTTCTATTTTTGTGTGGATTATAAGATTTTGCTTGTGTGGAAAGAGGAAAAGACATTAGATAAAACAGAGGTTATCTACCCTTAAATACATTTTAAAAATAGTCAATACTTTTTCCAGTTTCTTTGCATATTACACATTTTCCTATAATGATAATATAAACATATTTGAAAAAGTGAATAGGGGGTGCTATATAAGAAGAGTAGGGAAAGAACACTGCATTCACTTTTGCTCCTTTGGAAAATAACTCTTACGGAAGCCATAAGAAATATTTTCTGTGACATGTATGTTCAAGTTCTATTAACACAGGAGTCAGTCCTGACTATGCATTGCTGATGCTGCTGCAGGTCATTTTGTTCCTGTAAACCATGGAATGAGGCATTTCAAAAGCATGGATTTTTGCCCAGCATGCAGAGGTGCTATCACATTAGCCTCCTTCATTTTACCCATGTTATCGTGGAAATGATTGCTTGAGTTTTGTTCGCTGTTGTCACCCAGTGTCAGAAGAGTACCTGGCACATAGTAAGCTCTACTTAAGTATACGTTGAATGAATGAGCTAATAAAGGACTTGAGAGGTAAAGAATGAATATTAACAAGAAGATATAGGATTGTTGTGCAAAACTTCATAGCAAGGTATTGAGATGGATTTCAGGGATTGATTGGATTTTCTCCTTAGTGTGACATCTCCCCCACCGCCCTCCTCTCAAGGCAAAACACTTCATGGTATTCTTGTCTTTTTCCCTATCCAGCATCAGGGTTCTTAGCTGCAAGTAGCAGAAACAAACCCTGGATAATTTAAGCAGAAAATAAACATATCGAAAGGCTAATTGGGTAGTTCACGGTCTTGCCCGGAAGACTGGAGAATCAGCCTCAGAGATTATGCAGCCAGAAACAACATCTAAATCATGCCCCAGAACTAGTCCAGGAAGTCCCCACTCAGCCTTCAAAGCAGGCACTGGACGTGCTGCCAGCCCTGCTGCCAGGCCAGCGATGCTTCAGAACTGCAGTTGCCGGAAGGATTCCCTGTGTCTGCTGCTTCTCTGCCTTACTGGCTTCTAGCTTGAAGTGGGGGTGGGTAGGATTGATTGGGAGCACCTCATCACACATCCATCCCCTTCCGCAAAAGGGGCAACTATCTGACAGGTTGTGCCTTCTAGAGCATGAGGTAGGCTCAGCCTGCCTAAGACTCCTCCTGGTTTTCCTGCCCCCTTCTGTAACCAGGCTTCCACCAACCAAGTACTGGGGTAAAAACTTAGTTAATTCCTTCTGACATCCTTGGAATGTTGTGAAAGCTGTTTTATGGTGAAGGATTGAGTTAATTATAGTACCATTGAGTAGAAATCTATTAGACAAGTTGGAGAAATTTATACTATACTGATAGGTCTAAAATATATTCAAAATGACATACATTTTAGCTTTCAAAAGGCACTGTTAATGTTAACTTTTTTATATATAAAAGCCTACATAAATGTTTCTTTAAAATGTACAAATTACACACAAAAATACGTATCTCACAAATGGCTATCTTTTCTAAGGTGAGAGATAACAAAAAGTATAAAAAGAATTTGGTGAAGAAAGGTGCTTTAATTCAGTGTTCTAAACTCCAAGTATAACCTCTTCAGGATGATTACCATACAAGAGAAGTTTATGAAGACATCTTGACTGGAATTAGTTCAACAAAAACAAACATTATTTCTCCTTTTTGTTCACTCCGGAATAGTTGGGGCAATTTTCTGCTTATTTGGTACTGCAACTCCAAAATAGCAAAACATAAAAAAGCAGAACTTGAGAAAAAAATACAGTAGTGCTCAAAACTTGCATTAACTTGGTTTTTTTTAGTCTGTTTCTTTTCAACTTCTCCTTTTTTTATTATTATGCATGTATGTATTTACATTGAGTTTGCATTTTTTTAAGACAAAAGTAGAATTATTGCCATGAAATAGAATGTATTTGTTTTCATTGAAAAGTAAGACACTTTGTGTGTATCTCCTACTATGTCTTGGTATGTTTGTGTCTTGGTTTGTTTGTGTGTAGTATTATTCATTTAATAGCATCTGACTTCCTTGGGAATAACTGACCAGCCTTCCCTGATTTGGACTACTTTTGGGGAGAAGTATCATGAAGATAGAGAGGTACAGAAATGCTTTCTTTTATGTTGATAAGGTGAGTTAGCAAGTTGCTATTAGTCAACATCTACCTGCTTCCTCTTCATACAACCAACATAAAGAAGTGGCTCCAACTAGAACTTAAAATGTGTTTTTCCACATAAACAAGGGTTATAAAATTGCTGATATGAAGAGTTAAAATAATGCAATGAGAACTATGTTCCAGGTACATTATGGATAAAATGGGCCTAGGGTGTTGTTCGACATTTATTGTTTATTTATATGATAAAAAGTTTCTGGATGCTAAAAAAAAGGGGGTACAGACTCTGCAGTTGTTGTTAATTTTCTTGAGACTTAAGAACTTGGCTACAAAGAAATTGAAGAGGACACAAAGAAATAGAAAGACATCCATGTTCCTGGTTGGGAAGAATTAATATTGTGAAAATGACCATACTACCAAAAGTGATCTACAGGTTCAATGCGATCCCTATCAAAATATCAACACCATTCTTCACAGAAATAGAAAAAACAATCCTAAAATTCAGATAGAACCACAAAAAACCCTGAATAGCCAAAGCAATCTGGAGCAAAATGAATAAAGCTGGAGGCATCACTTTACCTGACTTCAAATTATACTACAAAGCTGTAGTAACCAAAACAGCATAATACTGGCATAAAAACAGACACACAGACCAAGAGAATAGAATAGAGAACACAGAAATAAAGTCATTATTTACAGCCAACTATTTTTGTCCTTTCATTAGGGAAAGGACAGTATCTTAAACAAGTGGTGCTGAGAAAACTGAATATCCACAGGCAGAAGAAAAAAACTAGACCCCTCTCTCTCACCATATACAAATATCAACTCAAAATGGACTAAAAACTTAAATGTAAGACCACAAACCATGAACAAAACAGAAGAAACAATTCAGGACATTGGGCTGGGCAAAGACTTTATAAAGAGAATCTCAGAAGCACAGGCAACAAAAGCGAAATTAGACGATGGGATTATATCTAACTAAAAAGCTTCTGCACAGCAAAGAGCAAACAAAACAACAACAAAAACAACAAAAACCCAATAAAACAAAAACAAATGGTCTGATTAAAAAATGGACAAATGAGCTGAACAGACATTTCTCAAAAGAAGACATACAAATGGCCAACAGATATATGAAAAAAATGCTCAACATCAGGAATCATCAGGGAAATGCACATCAAAACCACGAGATTTCACCTCCCCCCATCTAGACTGGCTATTATCAAAAAGACAGAGAATAACAAATGCTGGCAAGGATGTGGAGAAAGGGAAACTCTAATACACTGCTAGAGAATGTATTTTAGTTCAGTCATTATGGAAAACAGTATAGAGGTTCCTCAAAAAGCTAAAAGTAGAACTATCACATGCTCCAGCAATCCCACTGCTGGGTATACATCCCAAGGAAAGGAAATCAGTATATCAAAGAGATATTTGCACTCCCATATTTACTGCAGCAGTATTCACAATAGCCAAGATATGGAATCATCCCAAGTGTCCATCAACAGATGAATGGCTAAAGAAAACGTGGTTTATAGACAAAGTAGAATACTATCCAGCCATAAAAAAGAATGAAATCCTGTCATTCATGGCAACATGGATGAGTTTGGAGAACATTATGGTAAGTGAAGTAAGCCAGAAACAGAAAGAGAAATATCTCGGGCCGGCCCGGTGGTGCACTGGATAGTGCGCCGCTTGGGAAGCGCGGGGGCACTCCTGCCTGAGGGTTCAGATCCCACAAACAGACCGGTTCCCACTCACTGGCTGAGCGAGGCACGGGGGCAACACCGAGGGTTGCGATCCCGTTGCCGGTCCCGGTCCGGTACGGGGGCAACACTGAGGGTTGCGATCCGTTGCCGGACACGGAAAAAGACAAAAAAAAAAAAGAAAGAGAAATATCTCATGTTCTCACTTATATGTGGAAGCTAAGAGAGTTGATCACATAAAAGTAGAGAGTAGAATTGCTGTTACTAGAGTCTGGGAAGGTTAGGGGTGAGGGGGGGTAGTGAGAAGTTGGTTAACGGATGCAAAGTTATACCTACATAGGAGGAATAATATCTAATGTTCTGTAGCACTGTAGGGTGACTATAATTAACAACAATTTCTTGTATACTTTCAATTAGCTAGAAGAGAGAATTTTGAGTGTTCCCAACATGAAGAAATAATAAATGTTTGAAGTAATGGGGGAAAAAATCAGTGGTTGCCAGGGTTTCAAAGCAGGGGGCAGAGAGGAAGGATGAATAGGTGGAGTACAGAAAATGTTTAGGGCAGTGAAACTATTCTGTATGATACGGTAATGGTGAAAATATGACATTATACATTTGGTAAAACACATAGAACTGTACAAAACAAAGAGAGAACACTAATGTAAAATTGAGTTAATAATAATATATCAATATTGGTTCATAATTGTAACAAATGTACCACACTCATGTCAATAGTAGGAGAAACTGTGGGGGGTGGGGAGGGCATGGAAACCATCTGTACTTTCTGCTCAATTTCTCTGTAAACCTAAAACTGCTATAAAAAGAAAGTCTATTACTTAGGGAAAAAGAAAAAAGAACTGTCTTCATTAGTTAATTAATAATATTTTCCTCCCTGCACTTTCGATTTTCATCTAAAGATTGCCAGATATTTTGCAAATCTCCCTTGTTATTGTAGATACTTATCTTTATAGGTATAAGTACATGATTATTCGTATTCTGAGAAACTTCTTTTTAACTTACTTATCTAACATCATATAGTAACCAGTTAACTATTAAGAGTGACTTGGGGGCCGGCCCGTGGCTCACTTGGGAGAGCGTGGTGCTGACAACACCAAGTCAAGGGTTAAGATCCCCTTACCGGTCATCTTTAAAAAAAAAAAAAAAAGAGTGACTTGGGCCTTTGATATTTTGTCATGTTATTTCATTTGTTTGCATTTAATTTATTTGTTTGTGTTTAATTCTAAATATAAATTAGTACCCATACTGAGGCTAAAGAGAAACAGAGGAATCTTTAAAGAAATAAGGAACAACTATAACACAAAATATATTTTTATAATTATATAAAATATAATTTTTCTTGCTTCCCCACTATCTTTTTACTCGCTTTTCACAGGAATTTCTGCCTGCCCATAAGTGTTACGTGGATTAGCTTGGGCAGACGCTTGCCTTATGGAGCCATAGGAAAGCATGAGCATGGCAAAAGGGAAAGAGTGAATCCTGTGTCCTTTTAATTTGTATTGAGTGGCTTTATGAGAAACTACTGTGGAAAACTGTTCTAAGCACTTTAGGCTGAGGGAGTAGCTTAGCTTACTAAGCTGGCTTTATGCGCCGCAGCAGAGGGCCTGAACCTGCTTCCAGTGATTTGAGTCAGTCAGATGGGCCCCTGATCAGAGCATTGCAGTCTTAAATTTCATCAATAGTATCACTCCTCAAAAGGCTTTTTCAAAGAGATCTGCATGTTGATTATACTACAGCAATGTGTTATCTGGGAGGAGGGAAATAAATTTAATGTATTATAAGTCTGCAGCAAGGAGGGGCTGCTGGAGAAGCCACAGAGGAATTCTGATGGGAGAAAGAGGGGTAGAAAATCCAGGAGGGGCAAGACAGCAGTGACTGGCTGCAGTAGCCGTGAAGAACCTGGAGGCCAGGTGCCAGCCTCTGTGAGAGCCCCGCATTACTGGGGCATTCAGCAGCAGCACCAGGCACTTATATCTGTCAAGCCAACAACAGACCATTGAAGAAAAACATTATTGTCCTCAATTTGCTAAAGAGGAAGTAAGGCCAGTTTCATCTTTTGTTAGAAAAGTGGAAATGTTAATCATCTTTTCCTCCCCGCCTTCTTCCCTTTTCTCCCATTTGCTCTGTTTTTAGTTTTGGTTTGGCTTGTGAAACTGTTAACAGAAGGATCAATATTTTCCCCAAACTCTAGTTCAGATATCTCAGTTCCACTTGCTTTTCTGTTTAGATTGTAAAATAAAAGGAACAAAGGAAATGTTTTTTAACCTATATTTAATATTTCCCTTTTTAAATAGTAAAAGTAAATACATGTGGTTATTAAAAAAAAGTCAAACCATATAGACAATGAAGAGCATAAAATGATAAGCAAAAACTCCCCTCCCACCCTCAGCTTAGCTCCACTACCTAAAGATAGCCTCTCAGAAAGGATTTTTAAAATTGACTGAGGTTTTAGAATCCACAGTATTTCTGAATTAAAGTGCAGCCTGATGAAGGAGTGTTTTTCTAAACTAACACCTCTATAAGCACAGCATGGATATAAATGATCAACACTCCTCTCATGTATCTGGGTCTATAGAATAAGTAAGATAGGTCTTGAAGGAGATGGTCAAGTCTCCTTCACCTCACTCTAAGTACGGGGACTCACTGATATCCTCAGGACGAAGAGTAAGACTCAGACCAGAAGTCAGAGTAAACTTGACTGGCCTTTGCTTTTCCCCTTCACACCCATGATGTGGAGCTAGAGGGTGCTCAGAGCCACCCTCTGAAAGGTCTGTCCCTCATCTCAGCCTCCAGACAATGAGTTCTTCCTATTTCTCTCCCTTTAGGAAGAAGACAAGCCTACTCTCTATGTGTTCAATGCTGTAACCTAAGAGACAATGTCGATAATGGAGAGCATTTCCCTTCTTGATAGAAAAGTGTCTGATCTGAGAACTGTTGCTTTGCTCCCCACAGATTTTTTCCTCCCCGCCTTCTTCCCTTTTCTCCCATTTGCTCTGTTTTTAGTTTTGGTTTGGCTTGTGAAACTGTTAACAGAAGGATCAATATTTTCCCCAAACTCTAGTTCAGATATCTCAGTTCCACTTGCTTTTCTGTTTAGATTGTAAAATAAAAGGAACAAAGGAAATGTTTTTTAACCTATATTTAATATTTCCCTTTTTAAATAGTAAAAGTAAATACATGTGGTTATTAAAAAAAAGTCAAACCATATAGACAATGAAGAGCATAAAATGATAAGCAAAAACTCCCCTCCCACCCTCAGCTTAGCTCCACTACCTAAAGATAGCCTCTCAGAAAGGATTTTTAAAATTGACTGAGGTTTTAGAATCCACAGTATTTCTGAATTAAAGTGCAGCCTGATGAAGGAGTGTTTTTCTAAACTAACACCTCTATAAGCACAGCATGGATATAAATGATCAACACTCCTCTCATGTATCTGGGTCTATAGAATAAGTAAGATAGGTCTTGAAGGAGATGGTCAAGTCTCCTTCACCTCACTCTAAGTACGGGGACTCACTGATATCCTCAGGACGAAGAGTAAGACTCAGACCAGAAGTCAGAGTAAACTTGACTGGCCTTTGCTTTTCCCCTTCACACCCATGATGTGGAGCTAGAGGGTGCTCAGAGCCACCCTCTGAAAGGTCTGTCCCTCATCTCAGCCTCCAGACAATGAGTTCTCCCTATTTCTCTCCCTTTAGGAAGAAGACAAGCCTACTCTCTATGTGTTCAATGCTGTAACCTAAGAGACAATGTCAATAATGGAGAGCATTTCCCTTCTTGATAGAAAAGTGTCTGATCTGAGAACTGTTGCTTTGCTCCCCACAGATTTGTCACCCCTCTTCCCCTGGGTGACGGAGCTGCAAAGGGTTACTCAAAGCCCATCTCTTCTGAGCAGTTAGAAGCCCCAAAGTGGTTAATTTCCCCAAATGCTTAAGAGAGAGGCATTCCTTTCATTTGGGAAATTAACCCCGAATTGGGGTTTTCTTCCTGCATTTATTCTTCAGCCCAGGAAATTACAGCAAGGGACATAAGTGGGGTTATAGTTTAACAATATAGGCTGGTAACTTTCAGTGAAACAAGCCAGATGACATTCTATTAGGCAATTAAGTGATCCACCAACAAAAGCTTGATCTTAGCAAACATTCTCTTCTTACGCAATTTCCCAGTACTTTACATATCAATCAGTAACCTGTCTGTCTTTGAACCAGCAGCCTTGCTGTGTTACAACTCTTTATCTTACAACAGAGACCAATAGCCTGGGGAAAATTTCTTGTTTTTTGTAAGGTCAATATTTGAAACTGCAAGGCTTTGGAAAACCAGGCCCTGTGAAATACATTTGCTGTATAGTATACTCCACAGAGAACACTGGTAACTCTGAGATGTGGCTTCCCTGTGAGTGTCTACTGTCTATGGACCCCAAAGGGACTGGAGATGTATGACTGCAACACCCTCAGGGACTACCAGACTGATATCAGCACTTCCCACTATATTTGATATCAGCTACTACTCAGCACTAGGGTTCTTTGATACCAGATTTTGCAGCTTTTCAAGAGAAAAATGGAAATCTAGATTTTTATATGCAATCTGTTAACTTTACTTATTTATTTTAAAATAGTTAATACATTTACATGGTTTAAATATCAGAAGTATACAAGGATGAGTAGGGGTAAGTCTCCCTCTCTCTCCTGTCCCTCCAAAGCATTCAGTTCTCTCTCCATGAGCAGCCATCATTGTTATGAAGATTTAGAATCAAAAACATTTCTGAATTAAATCACAACACATGGAGGAGTTGTCTCGAAACTGAAACTTCCATAAGCACAGTGTGGATGCAAATTATCAACACTTCACTCTTGTGTCTAGGTCTGTATGCTAACTAAGAAATAAGAAGTGTCTCACAGCCCTGCCATATCTTGTTCTCAAAGCAGGATTTGTTAATGTCCTCAGGATGAAAGAGAAAACTCAGACCACTTTATCTTTTTTTTCTTTCAAAATATATTTTAAGTTCACATAGAAGTAAGTTCAAGCACATATTCTTTTCCCCTTTTTACTGCACAAGGAGCATATGATACAATCTGTTCCAAACCTTGCTTTGTGCAATCTCATTTTAAAATGTCGCCGTTTGGAGCCAGCCCGTGGCTCACTCGGGAGAGTGCGGTGCTGATAACACCAAGGCCACGGGTTCGGATCCCTATGTAGGGATGGCCGGTTAGCTCACTCGGGAGAGCGTGGTGCTCACAACAAGTCAAGGGTTATGATCCCCTTACCGGTCATCTTATAAAAAAAATAATAAAATAAAAAAATAATAAAATGTCGCCATTTATATTAAAACAATCTTTTTAACAGTGTGAAACCAATAATGTGCAGGCAGAAAAGCTGCCTTGCAGACTGGCATTTACTTGTGATAGACAGATTACAACTTTACTTTAAACACTGTACTTCCAGGTCACGTATGCTGGAGACAGACATCAATAAGACAAACTCAAAAGACTGTAAAATTTGTTTTAACCACACTAGACAATGGTTCAAGCCTTATAGAAATTATTGTTTGAGATGAAGAGGTCTTTACTGACAATTAGCACATCTTTAGGTAACGCGCTGTACTGTAACATTGGTTGCAATGGAATTTGAGTTCTCCCAACATATACATAGGGCTTTGTAGGCATCCTTAAGTAGTTTTGCTTTATATAACTGCTGAATTTGCATTTATCAGTACTTCTCCTGCATTATTTATTTACTGATACTTCTGCATTATTCTTTCATATTATTTTATTTTAAAAGATGGAGGCTCTCAAAACTTTTTTTAACGTACATATGGATTTTTATTTTAAACAAAGAATTGGTTACACAACTGTGGGTGTGGCTAAGCAAGCCTGAAATCCACAGAGCAGGCAGTCAGGAGAGGCTCTCAAAACATCAACTATTGTCTCTGTTTTTTTTTTTTTTTTTTAAAAGATGACCGGTAAGGGGATCTTAACCCTTGATTTGGTGTTGTCAGCACCACGCTCAGCCAGTGAGCAAACCGGCCATCCCTATATGGGATCCGAACCCAGGGCCTTGGTGTTATCAGCACCACACTCTCCCAAGTGAGCCACCGGGCCGGCCCTGTCTCTGTTTTTGATCAGAAGAAGTAAAATTCTAGAAATTGTCCCCAGAGTACATCACTATAAAGCACATACCTGTTTTGTGTGCTTGCCGGAGGCTGAACCCTGCCCAGAATATGATGGGGCTTACATGAGCTACTACTCAGCACTAGGGTTCTTTGATACCAGATTTTGCAGCTTTTCAAGAGAAAAATGGAAATCTAGATTTTTATATGCAATCTGTTAACTTTACTTATTTATTTTAAAATAGTTAATACATTTACATGGTTTAAATATCAGAAGTATACAAGGATGAGTAGGGGTAAGTCTCCCTCTCTCTCCTGTCCCTCCAAAGCATTCAGTTCTCTCTCCATGAGCAGCCATCATTGTTATGAAGATTTAGAATCAAAAACATTTCTGAATTAAATCACAACACATGGAGGAGTTGTCTCGAAACTGAAACTTCCATAAGCACAGTGTGGATGCAAATTATCAACACTTCACTCTTGTGTCTAGGTCTGTATGCTAACTAAGAAATAAGAAGTGTCTCACAGCCCTGCCATATCTTGTTCTCAAAGCAGGATTTGTTAATGTCCTCAGGATGAAAGAGAAAACTCAGACCACTTTATCTTTTTTTTCTTTCAAAATATATTTTAAGTTCACATAGAAGTAAGTTCAAGCACATATTCTTTTCCCCTTTTTACTGCACAAGGAGCATATGATACAATCTGTTCCAAACCTTGCTTTGTGCAATCTCATTTTAAAATGTCGCCGTTTGGGGCCAGCCCGTGGCTCACTCGGGAGAGTGCGGTGCTGATAACACCAAGGCCACGGGTTCGGATCCCTATGTAGGGATGGCCGGTTAGCTCACTCGGGAGAGCGTGGTGCTCACAACAAGTCAAGGGTTATGATCCCCTTACCGGTCATCTTATAAAAAAAATAATAAAATAAAAAAATAATAAAATGTCGCCATTTATATGAGCACAGTGTTATAACACCAAGGTCAAGGGTTCAGATACCATGACCCGGGGAGACTTCTTTGGCACCGTAAGAATACATGTAGGCAAGAAAAGAAGGGCCACAAGGGGAGAGGAGGAAGAACCCTTTGGCCTGCTTCATATCTTTGCCTAGAGCGTAACCAGTGTTCCTTAAGCAGACAGCCACCTAACTAGATGGTAAAGGAGTCCTCAACCAGCTTCCCTCCAGGTTGTCCCAGAGCTCTGAAGTCTCTGCGCTAGCTTTTTCTTTCTTCTAGCTTATCTACATGCTTATTTGCTTGTTGTTGTCTATATTGTATATATGCTTATAAACTGACATTCATCTTTTCTAAGACAAGGTGTGCCTAAACAAATGAGTGAATAAACGAATGCCTTTTCTTTACAGAATGATGCCAGTTGGGACTTACCACTGTAATTGCCTCATGGCAGGTATTTATGGCCAGCCTGAGCACATTGCATTTGAGAAACCATTCCAGGAACAGGGTTGTGTCAGCTTAGACCTTGAAATTTGGCTGGCTCCAGGGTGCCTCTACCAGCCTTTAGGCCAAGGGAGATCTACTGTGCCATTTTAATTCCTTTCATTGATGAGAAAACTGAGGCTCAGAGAAGTTAAGTGACGTGATCAAGGTCATACTTCTCATAAATGGTAATCATATACCCAGGACTGAATTCTTTCCAACAGTTTATCCTGTCAAACCGATATGACTTTATTGATGCCCTTCAAGTTCTAATTAACGTTTTATTTTGTTTCCCCTGTCAGGGAAAGCCAAACCAGAGAAATGGTTTCCATACTCAAGAAGAAAAAGTCCAAATCAAATAGGTAGATATTGATCCTGAGGGTATGAATGAGGGATTCGGAAACTTGGGAGGTAATGACCACATGGGGAGACACTGGGGACGATTGCCTGGAAGAGGCACTGTTGCTTCCATCTGCTTTCCTGTGTGGCCTGAGCATGGTAGATACGTTTGCAAGTAAAGAGTGGGTGGATCTAGGTTTCATAATGCTCACACAATTTTTTGGGTCCTCTTCAACAAAAAAAGAGAATCTAAAATTAAGAATATAGAACTAAACCAGTTAGAGACTTCTTTGTTCCTTCTCCACTCACACTATTTCACTTGACTACCCTACAATAAATAAATAAATAAACAAAGTAAAAAATAGAGAATTAGAGGCCCTAATGCTTACGTCTCATTTGTTTTACTCTCTTTTCAGTAATAGCTTTTAGTTGGATTTTCTAGAGCAACATAGCATTTTTCAAGTAAATTTCTATTTTCTAACAAAATTTCTAAGCTTATGAAGGAATTTAATGTGTGACAAAGAAGGCATTAAGAATCAATAGGGGCTGGTTAGCCAGTTTGTCAGAGCACAGTGTTATAACACCAAGGTCAAGGGTTCAGATACCCATACCAGCTATCTTCCAGGGGGAAGAAAAAAAGAATCAGTAGGGATGAAAGGATTATCTAATAGATAGTTCTGGGTAACTTGCCTAGAAATTATCTGGATATTCAAAATTTGAACATTAAGAGAAAAACCATTCATTGTTATCTTTCTTCTTTGAGAAGTTAGGACTGCTTCATTGCAAGGAACTGAATTGATAGTCATAACACCTGTAATATTTGCTACCTGACAGAGAACTGAAGAGGAATAAAATATAGGGCTTGACGGATGTGCCCCACTGATTTTAAAGAAGATTTAAGTCATACAGCTTTCTCTGCAGTTTTCAGCATCAGGGCTCATCAGCAGTAGGCAGGTTGAGCTAGGGATAGCTGAGACCCTGGGGCTAGGCAACCACCTAGGGAAGGACAGACAGGTCAGGAAAAACCCATATGCAGATATCTAGCAGAGGGAGTTTGCCTCAAATAAGTCCTGTTAATGGAAGTCCTGGAATAGGCAGGTCAGCCTGCCAATGTTGATTGGTAAGGCTGAGGAAGGCAGAGAGTGACCATCAGGGAGATCCAGCAGGGACCTGGTAGGTGAACCATAGCACCAAGGTAATGAATGAATGACACAGAGGGGGAAAACAAGACAAGCAGGTTGTTGACACTGGAAGCTCTGACAGGTAACAGAAATCTAACCTCAGGTATTGGAGTTCAGAGTAGGAAATTCAGGGATGGACCCTAAATCCTAAAACCTAAAAGGTCAGGTAGAATATTGGTTTCCATGATATGGGGCACAAGGTGGGGACTTGGTCAGAAAGAATAGGACAAGTCACTAGAACATCTGAGCAGGATGAACAGGAACGACAACTTCCCACCAAACCTCTGAGCTACTGGCCTGGAATCGTAACACATTCCCTCCTACTGATATTAAGATTATTCCTTGGACCTGGATCCTTCAAATGAGGCTGTGTGGCCTCAGCTGTGAAAGACCGAGTAGGCTAGGGTACAGGACCAGGCTAAAGCTTTCCACGGCTCATCTGTGAGTGATTTTCACAGTAAACTAAAATCATAGCAAATCATTCAAGTCAGGGGGATAAAATAAATGCACCTGGAGCAGTGTTCAAAGTTCTTTGTTTCCAGAGCTACCCATGGGAATGAAACATTTTATAAGAAAATTTAGGTACAGCAAGAAGCTTCAGAGAAACTTAATCTACTGTGGCAAGTATGGGCCATATTTTAGAAATCTGTTTATCACTATTTCTACAGAATAGCTACAGAACCCCCTCTTTGTCTCTACAGAATAATTCCATAATTCTCTACCAAGAAGAGTGAGCTGTCCAAGCTGAGGCCAGGTTTGTGAGGGCTGAGGCAGGTTAGGGGTGAGGGCAGTAAGCAGGTCAGGCTCGGTGAGTAAGCACATGTGCAAATCGGAACCAACCCAGAAGAGAGAGCAAGTCCATAGTCGAGAAATCCAACCCAAGGAAGGAGTCACGGAGGAAGAGCCCACTTCAAGATTACAGGTTACAGCATCGAAGAACGTCTGGAAAGAGGGTGACCAGCAGGAGACCTGCCTGTCATCATGTGGCTATCTGTGGAAAGATAGGGGAAGTAGAAAGGAAAGAAAGAGAAGGGCATTCGAAAGGAGGAGGCTTTCTAGGAATTAGAAAGAGTCCTAAAGACATAAATCTGAGGCCAATTTCTACTCCCAGCTAGCTGAGTAACTTCAGGCAGTTCATCTCTCTGGGACTCACCTTCCGAGTTTATAAAAAAGGACAACTGAGTGGACTGGTCTTTGAGACCTTTCTATCTTCACCCTTCTGTGACTCTAAGATTACTGGTGTTATGAAATCCCAACCCACAAAGATAAGCACAGTTTAAAAGTCCCCAAGGATGGAAAAAGGTTGGGTGCACAGAGAAGTACGGACCAGCCTGCTAGGTTAGAAGGGCAGCACATGTCTAGAAGGTACTGGGACAATGGACCAGAACTTCATTCAACAAATATTTACTGAGAATCCCCATGAGTCAGCACCACTGGGGAAAGCAGGCATGGTGGCACTGTCCCTATCCTCTTGAAGCTTGCATTTCAGTGGGGGAGGCAAGCACCTCAAGCAAACAGAAAAATATCTCATTTTACTTAGAGGTAAGAACTATGAAGTCAAAGAAAGCAGGATACAGGAACAAAGACTGATGCAGTAAGGTGGGGGTTGGGGGAGGCTATTTTAGATAGTTGCTCAGAAAAGGAGATGACGTTTGAGCAGAGAACTGAATAAAGAGAAGGGGAGGTTGTAGGGAGCTTCCTGGAGTAGATTTAGGTGAGAAATTATCTAGGGCTGAAATAGGGCAGAGCTGGTTGAGATGGAGACAAGGAAACAGAGTTCTTCAACATTTGTGAGGTAAATTTGTCAGACCTAAGTGATTGTTTAGATGAAAAACACTCATGAAAAAATGGGAAGGATAAACACCAACTCCCAAGTTTTAGCTTAGCTAGCAATAAAGATGTGACAACAACCGAGACAAAGAACACAGGAGGAAAAGCAGGTTGGGGGTGAAAGATGCAAGTTGTCTTTTAGAATGATGGGGTTATACTGCAGTCCCTTAGCTGGCACCTAGCCCCAGCAATGGGAAACTGGAGCTGGAATTGAGGCCCGGACTGGAGATTTGGGCTTGGGAGTGAGTGGTATCTGGGTGGTCAGTGAAGTCATTAGCATCACTGAGATCGGCAGTTAACTGGCCAACAAGTGTTCAGTGAGCATTTACCAGGTGCCAGGCTGTGTGGCAAGTCCTGAAGGAACTTTCCTTTTAATGCAAACATGAAAAAAATCTCCAAACAAGTAAAATGATTTCAAGTACTCATAATAGGGGTACAAAGATGTACAAATAAGGTCATCGGATGAAGAGCAATGGCGGGGAGGAGGCAGTGGCAGCAGACATTGCTTTAGCTATGGTGGCCAAGAGGTGTCCTCTGTGAGGACATAATTTTTTAATTGAAAGTTGAATAAAAAGGACACAGCCCTGTGAAAAATCTAGATGAAGACCTTTTCAAGCAAAAGAAATTTTAAATTGTTAGGTGCTGAGATGGGAGTGGACTCGGTGTGTTTGAAGGACAGGTGAAAGATCAAGGTGGCCAGAACAGAGTGAATGAGGCAGTGCAGGGGGAGGCAAGAGAGCCTGGGGTGGGCAGATTGGGAAGAGTTTAGATTTTATCCCAGGGGGATGTGTAGAGTGAGAAGAGCAGAAGGCTGAAGGAATGATTCCTAGAAATCACCAACCTGAGGGACAAAGAGAATGTGATGTCATGAAAATCAGGAAAGGGTAGACTTTTGAGGAGCAAGCAATAAATTCTCCAGCAGCAGTGAATTACATTTATGTCCATAACACAGAACAGTTCCTGTTTCATGGAGGACAGAACAATTGGATTAGCTGGTGAGCATCATTCAACTCCCTCACCAATCACTTGTAAGCTAAAGGCCCAAGAAGGCTATTTGTCTTGCCATGGTTTCCTTAGTTTCCTCTTCTAATATGATGGCTTTTGTTTATGTGGTAATGTATATACATCAGCATTAAATCAATGTCCACAGGATTGCTTTGAGATAGCTGCAAAAAATATTTCAGCATTATATGCAATCTTTGAGCAGGTGAGAAAATGGAAACACACAGAAGTTACATGGCTTTTCTTTTTTTTTTTTTTGTCTTTTTTTTTTTTTTTCCGTGTCCGGCAACGGATTG